TCTCTGACACAAAAGCTCAAGTTAGAAAGAAGGGGCTAAATCTGGAGGCAGGGAGTGGGCAGACTTATACATTAGGCAAAGAATTTTGGACTTTCCCCCTCAGACAGCGAGGAGGGCAGATTTATAAACTGTCATGCAATCACCACTCTGCAAGCCCGGGAAGGGTCACCAGCTGGGAATAGTTTCCACTCCTGGCTGCCAGCAGGTGCAAGTCGTCTCAGTCATCTGCCAGGCAGCAGAGAAAGAAGATGAAAGAAGGTAGAGGTGGCCTCACCTCCCCTGCCCCAGGCCTGCCTCCTGCAGCTGTTTCCAGCCATCAGTAGCCCGATGGAATCACTCCATTATTGCCCTAGACGTTAAGAGAATGGCAGCAAGGCTAACAATGCCACTGGAGAGAAACAGTGACTTAATTGTAAAATCTGGTACCATAGAAATCTATCATTCTCTGGTAAGAGATATCACTTACTCTTCCTTATGACTTGTTAGAAGCCTTTGCTATCACCATCTGAGAAATCACAAAACCCAAATACAGAAGGTTGGGTAACCACCGGCGCTGTGGCGCACGCCTGCAATCCCAGAACTTGGGAGGCTGAGGCAGGAGGATCGCTGCAAGTTTGAGCCCAGCCTGTGTTACAGAGTTCAAGGCCAGCCTGAACTGCATACCCTGTCTTAAGTTGACAAAAATCAGCAAACAAACCCAGAAGGCTAGGTCACTAAGATCACACAGCCAACAATATGAAAAACAAAGGATGGAACCTAGGTTCTGACCTTCAGACCTAAGAACTGGAGAATCTGGTGCCAGCCAACTAACCCTAATGTAGAATTCGAAATAAAAGGGACCTAAATTGCAAAATGAACGCTAGGAAGCCAAAAAATTTGATTTTTTGATTTTTTTTCAAATCAAAAATCTTTTTTCAAATTTCAAATCAAAATTTTGATTTTTTGATCCCAAAGTGATTACATGATAATTTTTAAAAATGTAAAATAATTATTCTTAAACTCTCTTCATTGTCAGATGCCCTAAACAGAGATGTTTAGTCTGCCTTTGACTAATCCAGAGCTGTGTATATTGATAGGAGCCAAAGTCTGGCACTTTCCTCTGCCGTGCAGCTCTTTATAAAAATTTTCAAGCAGTTTTGTAAAAACAAACGAAACTGCAGTTTACTTCTAAAATCACCACACAACTCATCCTGTGCCCATCCGCACTCTACAAACTCCGCATCAACAGGAACGGCTCCTCCTTTCCACCCAGCCGTGACGCCCAAAGCCAGCTCTGCACCTCCCGCCTTCTGCACGGCTACATTTGGCATGCTTAGCTGCCTCCTCACCCCGTCCGCTCTCGCTCCTGACGCCTCGGCCCCAGCCCGATGGCTCATCTGATTTCTGGAGCGGTCTGCTACCGGTCTCCCCGCCTCCTGTCTCCCTTTTAATTCGTTTTCTGCACTGGAAGATCATTGCATTTTCCGGCCTAGAGCTCTGCATTCCCTGTAAGATAAAGCCCATGTCCCCACCTGGACAGGGAGGAGAGGGACTCCGGCTTCCCTTTCTCACTGCACTGGGCACTGGTGAGAACACAAGTCAACTAGGGATCTTCTTCCCCATGACACCACCGGGCCCCCTCTGAATTTCCTGTGTCTAACTGAGCTGGAAGACAGTCGTAGGAAATAGTTACTAACCTAAACAGGACTCAAATGCTTGTGGGCCAGAGAGCACAGCGGCCTTACCGCTGGCTGTGACCAGGGTCTAAACCCCTTTTCAAGCCTCGCTTGAAAGGCTGCAGAAAGTGAGCAACTCGGCCGTGCTGGCTTTTCACCTACCACCCCCCACAGCAGCCTAGAGGTGAAATGGCCTTGGGCCCCTTGGACGGTAAATAATTATCCCTTGCCCTTTAGTAACTTGTGTGAAATCACATCTTGAGAGATAACACTCCTTCCACTGTTCACAGCCCTTCTTCGCTTGTGACTTGGGAAGACAGGAACCAGAGTCCCAGGCAGGAACTCATCCGTGAAAAGAGAAAAACTCAGCGTATCTGTCACCCAATAATCAAGTCTACCAATTCTTCAAAATCACAAATTTCATTTAATTAAAGTATGATTCTTAAAAAAAATTAGTCGGGCATGGTGATACACAGCTGTAATTCCAGCTCCTCAGGAGGCTGAGGCAGGATTACAAATTTGAGGCCAGCCTGGGCAGTTTGGGAAGTCCCCCTCGAAAAATAAATAAAAAGGGCTGGGGGTGGGGATGTATCTCAGTGGTAGCTCAACCCTGGGTTGAATCCCAGTAAAACAAAACAAAACAACTGTGACAAAGAATGCCTATAGGCAATGAAGCTAGGGGTAATGGTATCTTCTATGTTGCAAATTGCATTTCATACTGGGTCCGGTGGCGCACGCCTGTAACCCCAGCACTTGGGAGGCTGAGGCAGGAGGATCATTTGAGTTCGAGGCCAGGTTGGGCTACACAGTGAGACCCTGTCTCAAACAAACCAAACCAAAAAAAAACAAAAACAAAAAACTGCATTTCATGACAACACACAATTTTTAAAAAAAATTCAAATATTACATTTTTAAAAATTATTGTTAAAAACCATAGTAAACTACACTCAGAACGTATTATCTCAATCATTCTTAAAGGCACAGTTCAGTAGCTTTAAGTATTTTTACACTGTTGGGTAATCTCCAGAATTTTTCATCTTACGAACGTAAAACTCTAATTTAACAACTCCCTATAACCCCCCTTCACCCCAGCCCCTGGCAATTACCATTCTAGAATTCACAAGACTCATATATGAGTTTAGATGCCACATACAAGCATGTCTTTTTGGGGGAGGGGGGGGGAGGGGAGGGGTGTGTACTGGGAATTGAACTCAGGACCCTGCACTTACCAGGCAGGTGCTGTGCTGCTGAGCTATCTCCCTGGCCCAAGCATGTCTTTTTGTGACTGACATTTCATTTAGCATAATGTCCTCAAGGCCCATCCATGTTGTAGCATGTGTCAGATTTTCCTTCCTTTCATGGCTGAATAATATGCTACGTAATACTACATTTTGTTTACTCGTGTCTGCTGATGGTCATTTGGGTTACTTCCATCTTAATGCTGCTATGAACATGAATGTACAAATATCTTGGAGAGTCAGCCCTCGCTTCCTTTAGATATATACTTACAAGTGGGGACGTTGGATCATACAGCAGTTCTAATTTTTTGAGGCATCACCATGTTATCTCCCACAGCAGTTGCAGTATTTTGCTTTTCCAACAACAATCCACAAGGATTCCAATTTCTCTACACCCTTATCTTTTTTAACAGCAGTTATCCTAATGGGTGTGAGGCAATGTCTCATTGGTTTTTTGTTGTTTTTTTTTTTTGTCTCTTGAGGCACGGTCTCGCTATGCAGTTCAGGCCGGCCTTGAGCTCACTTTGTAGCCCAGGCTGGTCTCGAACTCCCAAGATCCTCCTGCCTCAGCCTCCTGAGTGCTGGGATTACAGGCATGTGCCACCATGCCCGGCTGTAATTTTGTTTTTGAATTATTTTATTTTATAAGAGCAGTTTTAGGTCCGCAACTAAGTTGACCAGACAGCAGATTTCCCATATACGGAAAACCTGCCCCCACATACGAATCGCCTCATTATCAACACATTTGTTACAACTGATGAACCTAGACCAACACATCATTCCCACCCAAAGGCCACGAACGTCAGGGCTCCTTCTTGGTGTTACGTATTTTGGAGGCTTAGACAAAAGTATGACATATATTCACGACAACAATACTATATACAGTAGTTTCACTACCCTAAAAATTGTGTGCCGACTATTCATCCTTTCCTCCCACCTAACCCCTTATCTCTGTTTTTTTCTTTGTGGTGCTGGGGATCAAGCCCAGGGACTCATGCATACTAGGCAAATGCTCAACCATGAGGCCACAGCCCCAGCCCCCACCCTGATGTTTTGCCTCCACAGTTCTGCTTTTTCAGAATGGATGCCAGTGTCATATAGCTGGACTCCTGCAGAACACGGCCACCTCAGACTGGCTTCTTTCACTTGGTAACATTCTTGTCCTTTCCTAGCTAGCTCGTTTCTTCCACGCTGAATAGTTCATTGTCTGCATGTACCAGTTTATCCCTTAATCTACTCAAGGACATCTTGGTTGCTCCCAAGTTTTGGCAATTCTAAAACTGCTATAAATATTCACGTACTTATTTTTGTGTGGACATTCCTTTGGGTAAACTCCAAGGAGATTGCTGGAACACATTGTCAAGAGTATGCTTAGGGTTTTTTTTTTTTTTTTTTTTCTTTTTTTGAGGCAGGATTTCATTGTGCAGTTCAGGCTGGCCTTGAACTCACTTTGTAGCCCAGGCTGGCCTCAAACTCACAGTGAACCTCCTGCCTCAGCCTCCCCAGTGCAGGGATTACAGGCAAGTGCCACCACACCTGGCAAGTATGCTTAGTTTTAAGAAACTATGCCATACTGTCTTCTTCCTTGATGGCGGCACCGCCTTGCATTCTCCTCAGCAGTGAGACTTCCTGCTGCCCCATATCACCACCTGCGCTTGAGGTTGTTCGGTGTTCTGGATTTTGACCATTCTAGGAAATGTTTAGTAGTCTCGTTGTTGTTTTAGTTTCCACTGCCCTGGTGACATGCTGTATCAGGTAACTTTTCATATGCTTGTCACCTGTCATTTGTGTGCAATGCTGAGGAAACTCCAGGCCTGCTACATGCTAGGCAAGTGCTCTACTACTTGTACATCTTCTCTGGTAAGGTCTTTGGCCCATTTTTAAATCAAGCTGTTTTCTTATGGTTAAGTTTTAAGAGTTCACTGTGGTTTTGATTTACAATTCCCACAGGACTTGTAAACTTCAGCATTGTTTCATATCCGTTTTGGCCCACAGAACTTAAAGCATACAAAAAGCTAGTTTACATTTTACCAATGAGCTTGACACCTCTTAAAACCTCTCACTATCAGGTATGACAGAAGAAATAACACAGAAAGGAGACAAGGAAAATTTTATAACAACTGTACTTTGTAAGAAGATGGCAACTTCCAGGACACAGCTGAAGTCACCCAAGGTCATACATAAATTGGCTCAATTAAGAGTAAGGGATAGCATCCTGGCCCTGAGATAAGGACAGCTGAAACCACAGACCCGGGAGACTGAACTGCGAGACCTCTAACCTCCACAGGTGTAGCTGGGCTTAGGTTCCGTTTTCTAAAGTCTTGCTAACATTTCCTAAAAAGAGGCTCCCAACAGAAATTTAAACCATCAAGTTTGCGTATGTGCAGGGGACAAGCAGAGTCCTGGCAAAGGGAGTTATAGGTGGCCAGGAAAAGGCCAAAGAGCAAGTCAGGAGTCAGTGAAGGACATGAACTGGGGCCAGAGCGTCTGGCGGCTCAACAAAACAAAGGCCTCACTGGTTTGCTGGGATCTTCTTGCCCAGGAATGAGATATTTGTGCCCCTCTAAAGAATCTCTTTGTTCTGTTGATACTGATTTTAGCAACAGAGTCTTTTTTTTTTTTAATATAAAAATCCTAAACTGGGAGACCCTTTGGCAACCTATTCAGGCCCCCTCTCAGATTCAACAACCCGGGGGCTGTTTGCTTTCACTTTGCAAGAAAGGCCGCCTCTCGCTCAGAGGCCACTGTGCTCTCTGCCCTTGCCTAACAAACCTTACTCACATCTCTGGCAGATCCTGCAAACGCTTTTTCTGCGATGGGAGTCGGTGAGCCTGCTGCAGGGGAGTGGGTTATATTTGGGAAACACGGAAACCCAGCCCCGTGACACCCACACTTGGGAAAGTCCTTCTCTACCAAGTTGAGAAGATGGATGGCTGGGCTTGCAAACCTTCCCAAGGCAGGCCTTCCTTCTAGGACAGCTGCAAAGCTGAAAGCTGAACACTCATAGTGACAGATTTAATGATCCTGTTAACAGCAGGAAAACGACAAGCTTGCCCCCTGGCGACAAGTTAGGGAGATTAGAAAAAGCAAATATTCCTAAAAGGCACAACCACCATGAAGAACATACTCTACCCTATCTAGAGTCTGGAGGTCACTCATAAAACAAGCTATAGATCAATCAGATTGGTTTATTCATAGGAAAAGCTACAAAAATGCAGTTCCTGTTGGCAAAATGTCACATAATCTGCTTACAAATTCCCAGCTGGAGCTGTTTTGGGAATAATCTGTTTCCTCAGCACGAGGAGCAGGGCCAGGTGAATGCCCTGGAGATGCTAATTATTTGTTTGTTTATTTATTTATTTAGAGGTGAAGTCTCACTATACAGTTCAGGCTGGCCCTGAACTCACAGCAATCCTCCTGCCTCAGCCTCTAAGTCTAGGATTACAGGTGCGTGCCTGTGGTTAGGTGAGGGGCTAATTTTTAACTGTGAATACCTGCTAAAAGAAGGCAGGCTTATGTTTCTTCTTCTTCAGCAACCCTGAGGTACAACAGCCTTTAACCTTCATGTTACACATCCCTCCTGATCTCTCTGAATTTACAGGAAGACTGAAAAAGAAGGCCCACACCAATGATTACATAAATCAGAGGGTGGCAGTCGTGACTATTTAACTGTTCTTAGCCCCTCTATTATATCAATCAAGACACTTTCTGATTTTCAAGCTAAAGTAACGTTAATAATGATTATGATGCCTGGTTCCTCCAAGGCCGGTGGCTGCTAATCTTTCCAACGTCCTGCTGTTTGTCTCACTGCCCACATTTCTATGGCTCTCTAGTTTGCTGCTTTTTTTTTTTTTTTTGCTACTTTTGACGGAACTGGAAGAGTATGAAAATTAAGGCCCCATAAATGTGCTTTTCTTCACAGAATTCAACCTGATAAAGGATTAGTAACTGAAATACACTCTGCAGGCCATATCCCAGCAGGCGATTCCAGGATAAATGCATCTACGTAACCAGAGCTGCTGAAATCAAGCCCGAAGTTCTCCTGCTCCAGCAGGTTAACTGTCAAGAGCTGCATCAGGTCTCAGAAATAGGAGGTCCCAGCCCCCAACTGTTTGCTGCCCGGGAGGGAGGTGGGTCACATTACCCAAACGTTAAGGGCTGGACACTTGTCTGCTGTTCTTTGTGCAGCTGCCGGGCCCGATTTTTTAGCTCCTCGGCCTTTACCTCATCCTTATCAACACCGTCCCCCAGCTTGTACATGCGGCTGGCATTGGCACAGGCCCAGACATGGCCCAGGTCACAAGCTTTCATGGAGTATTTACAAGCCAGGGCCATGTCCTTGGGGAAGCCCGGAGCACCCTGCAGGAACATGGCACTGAGATTGAAGCAGCTGGGAGCATAGCCGCCATCACAGGCCCTGGTGTAGTAGTCCCGGGCCTTCGCCAGGTCAGGCTGGCCATGCTCATTGACCTCTCCTTCTTGAGCCAGGAGACCGACATTGTGACAGGCTTCCATAGACTTCTTGCCGGGCTTCTCACACGCCATCAGAAAGCAGCTGAAGGCAGCTTTCAGGTCTTGAGTCAGTCCACCTATCAGGACAGAAAGCAAAGAAAAGAGTAAATCCAAGCCACGACAGAAACGAGTTGTCTCAGGACAAAGGCAGGGGAGAATTCTGAATAAAATCCACATTCTGTGAGCTAAGGCACCATGAATGGAAGGCAGCCTAGCACTGTACAGAACTTTAAGCATTTATAAGCATAAACTCTTTTGGAAGTCCAAAGAATTAAAGGAGGTAAAAATAGGGAACGACAGTAAGGACATGGCATTCTATAACCATTCAACTAAATGTTCCTTCATTTAACTATAGGGTTGACCAATCCATTTAAATACACGGTTTAATTAATCTGGAGATTCAATCAATCTCAGATCAGAAATATTCAGAAAACAATTATGTCTGTACTGGACATGTGTATAGGTTTTTCCATACCCATTATTCTTAAAGCAATACATAGTATAACAACTATTTATATTATCATTTATATTGGGGGCCAAGGATTTAGCTCAGAGGCACAATGTCTGCCTGGCAAGCATGAGGCTCCGAGTTCAATTCCCAGTACCCCCAAAAAAGTATTAGGTATTATATCATTTATATTGTATGAGGTATTATAAAGTAATCTAGAGATGATTTAAAAGTGTACACAAGGACTGCAACAGTTATAAGGAAATACTATGCCATTTTATACAAAGGATTTGAGCCCCTGAGGATTCTGGTGTGTCCAGGGGTCCTGGAACCAATCTCCCAGCAACTGAGGGATGACAGTGTGATGAATGTCTGTTATTTCCCAACTACTGTGGAACAGACGTTGTCCTGCCCTTTTGGATCTTATGGTCTAGTGAGATATTAAATCAGCATATGAAAAATGTAGAATTAAAAGCCAGGTGTGGTGGCGCATGCCTGTAATCCCAGC